CACACACACACACATTCACTCACACACACACATCATTCACTCACACACACACACATTCACTCACACACACACATCATTCACTCACACACACACACACATCATTCACACACACACACACATAATTCACTCACACACACCTACAGGCAATTTGCCAACTTCAAACTTCAAATTTTTGGACTGTGGGGGAAACCCAAACTAATAAAGGTCTATTGTATGCGCTTTTCACATTTGCATTTAAGCTATTGTAAATAGCATTTAAACAATAGCAGCTTTATATCCTGTTTACATATTTACTGTCGGCTCTTTCTGGGAGTCACACACTACACCTTCTGGCTGCCTTTCGCTGTACCTGCAGGGACGACATTAAAGGCTGTTCTTAAAGGTCAAACAGGGTTCATGGCTGGGATCAGATGCTCACTCTCTCCATACCATGTTATTAAAAGCCGCTTATTCAGCAGAATACCCGGGTTCAGTATAGACCCAAACCCACATGCTTTCAGGCCATCGTGAACACTTCTCTGTCCTGTTTTGTTGGTTTTCTGTCTGCACTCCTCGCCAAATTCCTCCACCCTGCCCCACACGGGACGAAGACAGCAGCTGCTTTTAAAGCAAGACCTGCATCTCAACGCTCCAGTGGTTCAGGAAACTCATCTGATTTCACCCAGGAAAAACACACCACAGTCTGGACCAGCATGTTTATTTGGCGCAGTGATGCATAAAACAGACACGTCCACATCGGCCGCAATATGAATGCAGCCAAACAGGTCGGAGCTGTCCCTCAGGGGAGAGACTCCCATCTTTCATCTGTGAGGAGAACCGGCTTGAGCGGTGACTCTTATCTTGGACTCCACTCCCCCCTCCGCCGCTGTCTGGACCTGCCCCCCTCTGCAGGCCAGTCAATATTGAAGCAGCACAGTGGAGTCACCTGGCCAGCGGGTGCCTTAACTGTGGATCTGTCCTGCTCTTCTTCTGTGCTCCCATGTCCCTGCTCTCAACCAGGTCCTCCTCCTCGCTGGCGCTCTCCTCGCTGCCAGTGGAGCCCCCTACAGGGCACCCCTTGCCAGCCGGCCTGCAGTCCTTCGCCTCATCGTCCTCGGATGCTGCCGACTCTTCCTCACTGTGTCCCTCCTCTTCTTCCTCACCACAGCTGCCCGGTCCTGCCTTCAGGTCGGGTTGCCGGTCGATGTGGAACGGCAGAGGGGGGGCGTTCTCCATTTCCTCGTCATGCATCCCCACGCTGCATCACAGACAGACAGTTGGGGCTGTAATTAGCATGGCGGCTATGGGACCCCACAGGAGATGGAACGAGGAGGAGCAGCCACACCAGGACCGGGGGGGGGGGGCAAGGCAATGGCTGCAGTGAAAAGGAGGCCGTGCTGCATCCTGCCCACAGCCCGCTCACCTGCTCTCAGCCGCCACTCTCATCTTCTCCCACAGGAAGTCGAGGAACATGGAAGCCTGGAGCAGCCGGCCGACTCGCTGCATGTGACGCTCTGCAGGGAGAGCAAACGGGCGCTGTCAGCTCCGACCTCCTCAGGGCGACACACCCTGGGGCCCAGGACCCCGGAGCTCACCGGTGTAGGGCAGCAGGCCCTCCAGAGCCGGACGCACACCCTGATAGCGCAGCAGCTGCTCCGGGCTCTCGTGGCGGAGCAGGACCTGCACGACAGCCTGGGCGTCGAGACAGCTGCGGCCGTTTGTGTTCCACACCACGCAGTAGCTCAGGAGCGCCTCTGGGGGGCAGTAACACGGGACATGAGCTGACAGCCTGAGTGGCGTGCAGGCACTGGCCGGGCTGCGTGCAGGTTTCGGGGTCAGCAAGGGCACTGTCACCCTTGTCACGGTAAGGGGGGGGGCTCACCTTTCTGGTCCTGCCGGAGCTTCAGGACGGTCTCCTCCAGCTGTTGCGTGCCACCCTCCCCCAGACGGACCTCTGCAGCAGATACATACATGAGATACGGCCATGGGGGGGGAGGGGCTACATGAAACTACAAGGAACTCAGCTCCCACCCCCCCTTCCAGGAGTCACCAGCTACAGCACGAAAACTGCGGTCTGGGTCCCCACACTAACAACCTTTAATGACCCTCAGAACGGTCTGCGGATGGCCCAGAGAGATGGCGATGCCCAAGGCCTTCAGGTAGTTGCCCTCGTGGAGGAGATTGGAGAGCTCCTGCTGCCTAGAGTGTGAGCAGAGAATGGGGGAGGGGCATTATACACAGGGAGGGGGACACAAATCAGTCAGAGGACCTGCCGTGTAACTGAGGCATGACTTAAGAGCGCCCCCCAGTGGCACCCCCCAGCCGTCTCGGCTCTCACTTCAGTATCTGCTCGTCCTGCTTGGCCTGCTCCTCAGCCAGCTCGGCCTCGGTGACGTCCTGCGGGCGACAGCGTCCCTGATGTCATGTCCTGTACACTCAAGTCCAACATCAGGACCGTCATCCACAAACTCAGGGAGAACCGAAGGGAAGGGAACGACCGCAAGGGGACCACTGACCGTCCACAGTATGATGTTAGAATCGGCAGATCCGCTCACGACCAGGCCGCTCTTGGCATTTGCGTGAAGACCCCAAACTTTGTCCTGGTGGGCATCAAGGGTCTTGATGCACTCGTTGGTCTTGATGGTCCACAGTTTAATGAGGCCGTCGGAGCCGCTGCAAGGACGGACGGAGAGCTGAGGCGTCCCGTGTTCCCCCAGCGCACCGGAAGCCCGTGATCCCACTCGCACAGCGCGGAGACTTACCTGGTCAGCAGCTGCGTCCCACGGCTGACAAAAATGACCTTCAGCACCGAGGCGTCGTGCCCTTCGAAAGTCTGCGAGACACAAAGCCAGTTCATGCAGAGGCTCACCCAGACCCAGGCGCCTCAGCGGGGCCACAGGGGCGAAAGCCGTTTACCTTCAGGCAGCTGAAGTCCTGCAGGCCCCAGAGCCGCACTGAGCCATCGGCGGAGGAGGAAGCCAGCACCTGGTCCATGGGGGAGAACTGGACGCACCAGACCCCCCGGCGGTGACCCCGGAAGACGCCCAGCAGCGAGAGGTCGGCCAGCGCCCACAGCTTGGCGGTGCGATCCTGCGAGCCCGACGCCACCAGCTTGTCGTTGGGGGACACGGTGACGCTGTTTATGTCCTGCGGGGGGCAGGCAGGGGGTCTGAGCAAGATTCCAAACAAACAGTAAAAGAGAAACCAGTTTAAAAAGAAAAAAGAAAACTGGTCTAGCGATGTAAGCACGTCACCCTCCTGCCCATTTGGGTCACCACCCCCCCCCCTTCATCCGTGCACCTTGTCGTGGCCCTTCTCTGTTGCCCGGGGGAGCAGCTGCTTCGGTGAGCTGTCGTCCGGGTTCGAGGCCAAGCCAGCGGGCAGGTCCCAGACCTTCAGCGTGCAGTCCTGGCTGCCGGACACCAGGAAGGCTTCCTTCAGCCTGGGTGGGGTGGGGGCAGAGAGTGAACCGGGGGCTACAACACATGGGGGCGGAGGGCACATGCCACCCGGTAACCCACCCCCCCGTCGTCAGCTTGACCCGGTCACCTTGAGCAGGTGACGCTCCCGACCGCGTCGACGTGACTGCTGCCCTGACCCATACAGCTCACCCTCCCCGTCTCGGAGTGCATCAGCCACACCCTGACCGTCCTGTCCTGGAGGCAGAGAGAACATGCCGGAAACGTGTCACCGTGTGCCCCCCCACATCGCAGAGGTCATACACACACGCCCCCCCTTTCCCCGGTGCCCCCCAACTACCTTCGCACAGCTGACAAACATCATCCCCTTATGGAAGACATCCAGCGCCAAGACGGTGTCTGACACAGAGCAGAAACAGACACATCAGTGTGAGTGTTTATCCCCCTGCCACTCTCCACCTGAGGCTGTGACTCCCCCTAGTGGCCGCCGCCGCACCTGTGTGTCCGTACAGGATCTGGCAGCTGCTGGTCTCCAGCTCAAACACCTTTATCTGCGGGCTGTTGGTTGCCACAACGATGTGGCTGCCCCTTTTCCCCAGGAACCTGACGTCCAGGACTTCGTCGTTGTAGCCCACAAACTAGACGGGATGGATGAGAAGGTGCGTGAGAGGTCTGAGGGGTCTAACAGGACGCCATACGCCCCCCCCCCCCCTCCCAGCCCTATGGGCCCCCGCCTACCTGCTGCCGCACGGAGAGCGAGGGCATGTCGTACAGCAGGATGTTGTGCTCGGCTGTCACGGTGGCCAGGCGCCCAGAGGCAGGCAGATCCAGCAGGTAGGTGAGGCTCAGCTGGTTCGCCTCGTCTCCGCCCTCCTCCTTCCGACTGGAGGGCGGGGCTACCGATGGGGTCTGTGCAAACACGCACCGGGCAGAGCTGGCCTCCCACACACGCAGCACACCTAGTATGGGACAGGAAGACGGGTGAGAAACCCCCCTCCAGTATGGGGTGGCAGGGTGAGAACAGCCCGTCCCTGAAGTGACATGGAAGGACTGCCAAACAGCGCCCCCTACCTTTGCTTCCAGCTGTCATAAAGTGCAGGCCCTCGGACTTCACCCCGATCTGTGGGAAAACCTCCCCTTCTGGCAGCACCACCGCTGCCTCCACTGCCTATGAACAGCAGCGCCCCCAGCAGGACCATTAGCGTCAGCAGGGCGGGGAAGGCGGGGCAAGGGCGGGGGGGGCACGGGGGGGGCTCACCTCATACACAGGTACGGTCCGGATCGCTGCACAGCTCTTCAGGTCCCACACCACGCATACCTTGTCCCGTCCTGAGCTGCGGGTCCAGATCAGAACACAGAGAGTGTCATGGCGATGGGCACAAAGGTGGGGGCCTCCCGGGATTGAGGCTGCGGGCGTCCTGTACATTGCCCGATTCCTAAAGTGTGCCACCGTGCCTGACAGGGCACCCACCTGACGAGCGTGTCGCTGTGGTGGGAGAAGGCCAGCGAGGTCACAGCACTGTAGTGGGCCTCCAGTACGCAGACGCAGCGGCTACTGCGCAGGTCCCAGATGCGCACGACGTAGTCGGCCGCACTGGAGAACAGCTGTAGGCGGGATGTGTCTGGATGGAACTGCACCAGGCTGGGGGGGGGAGGCAGGGGGGGGGGGTCAGATACCGGTGGCACCTGCTATCATTCTTATTAACTCCCTGCGTGGTTGGGGAGGGGGGACTGGTTACTCACTGCACCACCCCAGAGGAGCCTTTCAGGTTGTGTGTGCAGTACTGCTTCAGCACGTCCCAGATCTTAATAGTGCTGTCACACCCGCCTGAAAACACAGAGAGGCGTGATCAGGCCAGGAGCGCACCAAGCCGCCCGCTTTCACCATCAAAGTGACAAGATACCTGTCGCCAACAGTGTGGATGTGGGGTCAAAGCTCATGCTGGCCACAGGCGCAGTGTGAACAGCCCTCCAGCTACGCATGCGAGCCTGGCTCCTCCAGTCCCACTGCGTCAGCAGCAGCGCCCGGCTGGCCGTCACCAACATCTGCGAGAAAGAGCCAGTCAGTTAAAAGCTAAGCATGGGTCAGACTGCTAACCTTCACACTGAATATAGCAAGCATTAAGACGGAGCCTTTACCTCATCGTCAGGGCTGACAACGAAGGATGTTATGTCCTCCTGATCTTCCTATAAGCACACACGTCATTGAAATGGCGCTCAAAAACAACATGGTTGATTGAATGGATTTAAATATACCCGCTGGAAGCGCAGGACCATACCTGTTCAACGCTGGTAAAGATTTTCCCAGTTCCAATCTCCAGTACATTTACCCGTGTGCCACATATACAGAAGATATATTTTTCATCTTTGCTTATCTTAAAAACGTAAACACACACAAAGTGAATAGTAAAAATTCAGTCACAGCAGGTAATCGTTTAATTACATCCCAAATATACAATTAGTGTAATTTAACAGTAGTAAACAAAGTAGATGTATTTACCTGCACTTTCCCTCCCCGGTAGAATGGCTCGATTTTGCTAGACACGGCATAACTACGCAAAAACAAGGCAGAGTTGATATTATGAAGGCATCAAGACACTGACTACTCAGAAACCACGTGAACGCGTATGAGCCGATCCTTACTTTGTCGCGGACTGTAGGGTGCTGTTCGCCATCGCCGCTATAATGTTATTCCGCGCACGATGTGGATGTAGTGCTGATCAACTCAGAACAATTTTTCGAACAGCTTCTGCAAAAAAAAATCAACGAATCGCACCCATGAAGACCCAAACATGTGTTCAAACCATACAGCGAACGCGGCGCCGTCCCTCATATTGTGCGTCATCAAAACGTGACAGGGGCCGGCGGTGGGTGGAGTCGGCCAGCTGCCTGCCCCTTTGGCCTGCCCCAATGTATGATGTAATCTCTTGTTCATTTGCTACAATGTTCATAAGGTCCTGACATAAAGTGACACCACAGTTTTATTTAAAATTACATGTTACAAATTTAGTTTAATTACATGTTACAAATGTCCAAAAACAAGAAAGCACAGAAGACATGTAAGGTTATTAGAGATTTTAAATTCTGTATTTTTTTCTTGCTCATCTTTTGATGTATATGTATTATTTATGTATGTCCCCCTGGCAAGGTTCTAAATTTTGCATGTAATATATGGACTATGTTCCTTGTACCTCATTTATCTTTATCAATAAAAGTGATTTTGGAGAAAAAAACTTTTAAGATTTTTTTATTTTCATTTGTGTGAACAGTGTATTGGGAACAGTAATGAGAAATAAACACATGAAGAAACAAAAAAAATTTTTTTGATTTTTTGCCAGGTGTAATTCTAGAAATCAGTATTTTCAATTTAAATGATCTTTCACAGAATAAAAACAAACAAACAATGAACTATGTCATCTCTCTAAAACATGCTGTGACCAGACAGAAAGATCCAGAGTCTGGGTCTAATGTAAACAGTGAAAATACGGCATTTGTTCCTGGATGCTACCAGACGTGTGTTAGAATGATGGGGAACAGATTTTTATTGACCGTAAAGAAGTATTGCAGTCACAGTGTTTAGTCTATTGCGGTCGTTCAGTTCAATGGGCAGTGAACCACGGAAAGATACGATACGGGTATATACGACTTAACAAGCGCTAACTATGGTGAGTACTGCATTAGAGCTCGTATTTTCCAACAAATGTATTCGACATACTGCTTTTCGCTCAGTTTATAAAGACTACCTGCCCGTTCAAGTAGGCAAAATCGCTTATTTATTTTGGTAACTGCTTTCCAAAGTAGGAACACGCCTTTTGTTTACTTTTATGGAAATCGTATAGGTACCGTACGTATTAATACGGTTAAAGGGTTAAGGTTAACCTAATGTTAGCATTACTTAATGCTACCTAATATTAACTCAATTGTACACTTAAGCGCGTGTTTATTTATTTTGAGGGGAGACAAATATGAGTTTGTGAATTGGCTCAAAATAGCCCTGCGGCTCAGGATTACTTGTGTTCGTAGTGAATCACGAACTGCTGATGCCAGAAGCAACATGAAAGTGTCACATTGCTGCTGTTGCACGCGTTTCCTTATTATCATCTGACCTCAGCTGCTGTGTTCCTTTGTCACTACAGAGCGGAGGTTACGACGTGGAGTACTTCGTGGACAGTCCAGGCCACGATCTGATCTGTCCGATATGCCAAGGGGTTCTACGGTGCCCAGTCCGAGTGGGGTGCCACCACATCTTTTGCAAAAAGTGCATTTTGCAGTGGCTGAGGAGGTACGCTGAGGAGTGTGTGTGATTTGTGGGGGTATGGGGAAGGGTGCTGTCCTGGATGGAGGGACATAACACTGAACTCTCCTCTGGGTAGATCCTCTTCAGGAAATATTTTGTGACATAAAATGCCCTTAAAGTTTTACAGACTCTTGATAGAATCATTCTTAGCTGACATCAACTCAGAGTTTCTATAATGGGGTAATTATCTAGCGTAGAAGGTGCTTCTGGCAAGGGACAGCTTGTGGCCTGGTCTTGCTCAGTGTCTCCACAAGTCCCTGCATTATACCCTCCTTGGACTGCTTTGGGTGACCTGGTGTCTGAATCGTCCAAAGTGTATGGTTGTTGTGACAGTATGTGTCAAGCGATGACCTGCCATTGGCTCAGCACATCTCCTAAACTCTGCTGCCATTTGAGATATAGACCAGTCCAGGTTTGACAGATCACCTTCGCCCTTCCCGTGCAGGAAGGAGTCGTGTCCGTGCTGCCGGAAGCCAATCAGACGCAACCTGATATTTCTGATGTTCAAACTGAGTAAATCCATTGGACGCTTGAAGGTTAAGGTAGGCAGCACAGTGGCAGGTGAGAACGTGTCACAGACAGTCCATCTTTATGTGTGATTACTGCTACACAGATTGTTTTACATTTTTACATCATTTTAAACCAAACATACATAAAGAGGCCTAGGAACTGGAGGAGTGTACCTTCTAATATTTAATTTGGATTCATTCATCTCCCCCAATAAATGGACCTTTGCATTTAAATTATTAAATTGCCCCCCCCAGTCTTCTACACCTCCTTACTCAGACCATAAAAAGTCTGCTTTACCTCTATGGGTTTCCATGTAACATGAGCAGTGACCTTTTGTCAGGCGAGACATTTGTGACACGTTTCTGATTCTCCTTCTCTGCCCCCCAGTGCAGAAATGCAGCCCTTGGCTGCCCAGCCACCTTCCCCCTCGCTCAGCAGTACTCTCACAGCACCCAGTGCCTGTTTGAGGTGGTGCCCTGCCCCCAGCAGGGCTGCGGGGCCCAGGTGCGGCGTGGGGAACTGCAGGCGCATGCAGAGCTCTGTGAACACCAGTGCCGGCCCTGCCCTATGGGCTGTGGCAGCGTACTGTCACAGCAGGACCATGAGCGACACAACTGCTACCGGCAGCTGCAGCAGGAGCTGGAAGCCCGGCAAGAGGCGCAACGTGTCGCCGTCACCGGCCTGCAGCGGCAGATCAGGAAGATAGAAAGCACCATGACCCGCATGCGAAGTCAGGTCGGCCTGCTGCGCAAGAGCCTGGGCGTCAAGGACAACCAGGAGGGGGCAGCAGAGGGCGCCACAGAGAGCAGCAGCTTCTGAAAAGTTAAGCGGTTTAAAGACAAACAAATGAACAAATCGGAGACTTTTACCGTAACCCTGCTGGATAATGGATGGAGCGATTTATAAATTTGGAAGTTTGGGTTTGACAAGTTTATTTTAACAATTTGGATAGATATACCTTATTAATCCTAAATGGGAATTTCTGACAATATTTTATAATAATGGCATAATATTGTCTAAAAATTTCTACTCCTTAATGCTTGCTACTGTTTACACATTATGACATTAAACTGGTTAATAAAGAAATGTGCCTTGATTACTGCTTTGTGCCGGAAGTTTGCATGCGTCGCAGGTCGAACTTCGAAGATCTCGCGTGACTTCACTCGGTATATAATAGTTAAGGGTCTGCAGTCACTTCCTTCTTCCTATCTAACCAATCACGTAAGTGTGTGCGGCTTATGGAGGGCGCGGGGAACGTGTAAAATCTAATAAACATCTTTGCCATCTTTTAGCATGTGATATTGATGGGACACCTGTGCATTATATAAACACATTCGCGTGTTTTTACCAAAGTATGTGACAGATGCAGCTAAGGAATTAGTGATTTATACATTAACTTCGTTTCGCTGAAATCTACAACTGCATCGATCAAATATGGCGGCTTTTTATTGATGTACGAGAGCGCATATGGCGTGTATTTGATTCTTTTTTTTTGGCTCATTAAAGGGCTAAAATGTTAAGCCTGGTACCTTGTGTCGTTGGTAATCCGCTAATATGCGGCGGCCTGTATAGTATATTTCTTACTACTAGGGGCTTCGCGTTTAACTCGCGTTTACCTTTCTTTTGCAGCAAATGGCGGACGACGCCGGTGGTAGAGGAGGTTTTCGCGGTGGCTTCGGTGGCGGAGGCCGGGGACGCGGTCGTGGCCGCGGCCGGGGTCGTGGGAGAGGCCGCGGTGCCCGAGGTGGCAAGGCCGACGACAAGGAGGTGAGTGTGAACCCCGGAGTCTTCGGCCGCCGTCCGGTGGCGCAGTGAGGGTGGGAAAGCCCCATGTGAGCCCTTCTAAAAGCGCTCGATCAGCCTGTGCTCCGTGGCTGGGGGAGTTGTCGTTGAAGGGAAGATAAAGATCATCGCTAGTGGGTGAGACGGCAGTGCCTTGTACTGTTAAATCTCAATTAGTGGTGAAACAATTTCATTATTTTAATGTTAATGGTTCTCTAAGATTGGGCCGATTTGAGTACTTTTGATGCTGATTTGAGTACTCCGCATAGTACTTATCTGAGGCTCTCCTTTCCAGTGGGTTCCAGTGACCAAACTGGGTCGCCTTGTGAAGGACATGAAAATCAAATCCTTGGAGGAGATCTACCTTTACTCCCTGCCCATCAAGGTAAGCCTGCGGATAACCGCCTGAGCTGGAGTTACCGACATTAGTCCATGTGCTTGGGTAACACCTCACCATGCTCTCGCAGGAGTCTGAGATCATCGACTTCTTCCTGGGGTCCTCGCTGAAGGATGAGGTGCTGAAGATAATGCCCGTACAGAAGCAGACTCGGGCCGGTCAGCGAACCAGGTTCAAGGTGAGTCTGACATGAAGCCTGTCTGGTGGTTTTATTTGTCTGTTTGAGCCCCCAGCAGCTGGTAACTTATATTGTCGATCTCATCTGTTTGTAGGCCTTTGTTGCCATTGGCGACTACAACGGCCACGTCGGCCTTGGAGTGAAGTGCTCTAAGGAGGTGGCCACGGCCATCCGCGGGGCCATCATCCTGGCCAAGCTGTCAATCATCCCCGTGAGGAGGGGCTACTGGGGGAACAAGATCGGGAAGCCGCACACAGTGCCTTGCAAGGTGCGTGCGCCGTCTGACCGGGGCATGTGGGCTCGCAGTCTCTTCGCGCGAGTGCGGTTCCCGCTTAACGGCGCGTGTGGCTCTGTGCAGGTGACCGGCCGCTGTGGCTCCGTCCTGGTGCGCCTGATCCCGGCTCCTCGCGGTACCGGCATCGTGTCTGCTCCTGTCCCCAAGAAGCTGCTCATGATGGCGGGTATCGACGACTGCTACACCTCTGCCAGAGGATGCACGGCCACGCTGGGGAACTTCGGTAAGGTGGTGGTGTCGCTTGGTGTGTTGCGGTGCAGCTCTGTGTAGATTAGGGGGGCACCGTGGCCCTGTGTTCTGAATGCACGATGACCTTATTCCCCGTCCCCCTTTGCAGCCAAGGCCACCTTTGATGCCATCTCCAGGACCTACAGCTACCTGACCCCAGACCTCTGGAAGGAGACTATCTTCACAAAGTCTCCATACCAGGTGAGCTGTGATCACTGATCCATATATCAGGTCTGATAATCTGCAGTGAGGTGGATTCTGGGTATTCTACAAGGCAGAGAGATGCCCTGGAAATACGCTGACTGTTCTCCTTTGTTTGCAGGAGTTCACTGACCATCTGGCCAAGACCCACACCAGGGTGTCTGTGCAGAGGAGCCAGGCTCCTGTCCCGCCATCCTGAAGCGTTTTGTATTTCGGCTGAATAAACTGTCTGGAAACTACATGCCTTTGTGCTGGTTTTTAATGTAATGGGAGTTGGGTGGGGGCAGACTGCACATGCCTGCATGTAAATAGACCCCCCTGATGCTGAGGGTTACAGTGCTGCTGTGCTGTGACAATCCAACAGACTACCATAGAACTAACGGGTCTCTGTAGTTCGTTTTTTTTTTTTTGTTTTTTAATGCTGATTTCAAACATGCACTAAACTTTGCTGTCACCCAAATTGAATGTTTGGGCTATATTGATAGTATATATAATTCTTAATGTAGAAGTTTAAATGGGGAAAAATGTACTTGTGAACATTACAATTAGAGTGCAAAGTACTGTAAGTCTGTTTTGTCAGAATTTACAGGCTATAACACATTTGGACGTGAGACAGATTTCTGCTCTGTTAAATGGGAAACGGTCATCAAGGCCAGTGGAGTCCCAGTCTGCCTGCTGACTTCTGTTGGACCCTTAGAAATGTTCCTGAGGCCAAGTACAGCAGCAAAATCACACTTGCACATGTACTGTAAATGTACGGAAAGCAGAGTTTGTCAATCCTTGATATATTCCAATTGGATATTCATTGCAGTGCAAAAAACAGATTTTATTTTGAATTGTGTGATGAGAAAATATTGACCATTGGTTTTGGTTGGGGCTTGTATCACAAAGCCATACATCCTGCTTAGCCGGGTAACTTGTGAGATTTAAGGTACCCAAGTTTAAATGGACTTGATCTTTGTTCACTTACATTTACCCCAGACTACCTTAAATTTGAATAACGCTTTCTGAAGCAGGGTGGCACTGGACTGTGCTGTACCCATAACCCAAAGTAGGTTAGGATGCTGTAGCTGTGATCAGAAGGTTGCAGGTTCACATCCCAGCATGGGCACTTGGCTCCTGAGCAAGGCCTTTACCCAGGGACTGACTGCTTCCTGAAATGTATCTGCTTTGGATAAGAGCATCTACTAAACATTAATAAAGAGCCACTGTGCAGATAGTAGCATCTCCATGTTTATTGTACAGTTCCATACAGGCTATGCCGCTGTTGCCCTCGCAGCCGCCTCACGCTGCATTCTGCTCCTCCAGCATCCGGTGCTTCTGTTTCATCAGGCACTTGCGGGCGCTGCCATAGGCACCCAAATCCCCGTCTGCAAGGAACACAAGCGGCTCGTTAAAATGGACACCGGTGGCTCCATGCTAACTTGGCATGGCCTGATCTAAAGAGCTTAAAAACCTGAACACTATCAGTCGTCGTATGAAGTATACACATGAATACACACCGGTGAACAAATCAATTTAATGATTCCTTTTAACGTCATAACTTGTGCACTAAAGGCAGCTTTGAGTGTTCACAGGTTTCTTCAAACTGTTACTATTCTATAAACACCTAAGATTCAGAATCCGACTTGATCTGAGTGGGACCCAATGTGTCAGAGGAATTTGTTGTGGTGAATTGGTCCTAATGAATGTGCTTAACATATAATGAAGACAACACAGCTCTTAACTTAAAAATCACTATATGACACTTACAGGATTCAAACTATGAAATATACACAATACAAATATAAAATATACAAAATATCCAGTAAGATACAATAGACCACTGTTTCTCAGACCATTCCTCAGGGACCACCAGACAGTCCACATTTTTGCTCCCTATCAACTGCCAGGGAATTGGAAGAGAGCAAAAACGTGGACCGTCTGGTGGTCCCCTAGGACTGGTCTGAGAAACAGTGCAATAGAGCAACCAAAGAGTACCATTCAAGAGTATCAGAGTATCCATACTGCAACTCACACATAGAGACTAATGGATCCACAAACATCCAGCCTAGACACCTGTAAATGGCACAATGCATAAGCCTTCAGAAGGACTCCCTCTGTGACATGTTTACCAATCCAGCAGGGGGCTATAGTGAGCTGGGAAGTACATGTGTCACACACACACACCCACACACACACGAGAGGTACGCCCTGGACCCCAGTCCCAATGTCTACTACTCACCCCCCCTCCCCAGGCCAGAACCCTGCCCCCGGAAACTCACAGCGGCTCTGGTACGCCTTGGCCACCTGCGCAAACTGCTGCAGCTCTTTGGCGCAGTTCTGCTCGTAGCTGTTGCCCTCCCGCTGCTGACAGGCACGGAGCCTCTCCTGGACCACCTTCACGATCTCCTGGTCCACTTTGCTGTAGGTGGTGGTGTGGGGGGTGTCACACAAAACAATGCAGGAAGGAGGAAGTACGGAAAGCCCCCAGTTCACACCCAAAGCAACTTCTTTGGGTTGCAGCGTACATCGTACATAAGTGAAGACTGTTACCAACCAAAGCAAAACAAATCAAAGGATTATCAGGGTCGCCAACTGTAACACGACTGGCGTGACACTCATGCAAGAAATCTTGCGGCAAATGTACATTATTCCATTATAAACCTAAAGCTAATTACATCAAAAGAGTTGTGGTAGTTTGCAAACCCTACAGACTATTTACAAGGTAATAAAACTGTTACATACATGTAAATGTGTGTGCATATGTGTGCAGACTTGTCTCGAATTGAAAATCTCACGCCAGCCAGCTGACCTAAGTTGGCAGCCCTGGATTACAGCCCTCCTCAGCCACATCTCTATGCCTGATGGAGACAGCGACCCCCCCAGACAGCCCCCACACGTACTGGTCTCTCCTCCACTGCATCTCCGCCTCATAGTAGCACAGAAAGTCTCCCATTTGGCACTCCGTCAGCTCGGGAACACGTCTGAACTTCTGGTGGTAGTAGTAGAGTTTGTTCCTGTCGTGCATCCGGTCCATAAAATCTGCCAGAAGCAGAGGAATAGCAATTACCATGACAATGGGGAGAAGGGTAACGAGACCGAAGTGTGAGGTGGACACCACGAATCCATCAGCACCAGTAAGGCCGGTCAGGAGAGACGACAACACATCGGATGTCAAGTAAGCTCTGGAGGGTGAGCCCCATACGTCTGGCTTTCCCCTGGCGATCCATTAACCACCACGAAGTGAAATGGTGCTATGCCGCTTCTTACCCCTGAAGGTGGTGACGGGGACGTCCACAGCATAGTGGAAAAGCTGGGTGAGGATCAGCGCCGGGTTCGGTAGGTTGGTCTGCTTGTCCACCACCGGCGTGCGGCGAGGTGGCTCGGGATACACGTCCTTATCATAATCGTCTGGCATGGCGGCTCCCTGATGCAGAAAACCTCTGCACAGCTACGCTAATATAAATATATTTATGTGAGTATATATATGCCCTGGGTATGTTCCACTCGACCTCAAGCGCAGCACTTGGGTATCCCGCGCCTGCGCACTACGAACCGCAAGGATACGTAAAGGTCAAACCGTTTTCCGCGACACGTAACTTATTTGAAATGTGCTGGTCTATATCTCCGTAGAAAATGATAATAATTCAGTTTGTTTGAATGAAATTTCGCAAATCAAATGATATATCAATGAAATAACCACACATAGGGGTCAAAGGTAAAAGGTTAACGGCATCGCGACATGTGGTGTTTTGTTCACCATCAGAGGGCGCTGTTGAGGTGATTGTAGCTGAGTGAGGGCCAGCTGTATTTCACAAAACTTTGAAACATTAAGATTTTTTAGGTCTTAAGGCGCCCTGTATATTTTTGCAAGAGACTCGTTCATGTGAAGAGGATGTTTTGTTCTAGAAGAATCAATGATGAGATAAGATGCTGTTTTGTCATGATAGTAATCGTTCCGTGGGTGTGGCATTTGCTTCCAAAGATTCCCAGGGGCGATAGTTACGTTTAATAATTATGTTGATGGTCGTTTATGTTGAATGGTCATTTGGTATCCTGATTAATACTTATGGACGTAACAGTATTGGAAGAAATAGGTTGATATTGGAGTCTATTATAGAAGTTATCTCTGAATTTAAACAAAGGTTTGGTATTAAGTTCACTTTAGCAGGTGGTGATTGGAACATGATACCCTACGAATGGTTAGATAGATAGATCTAGATATGATGAACATTATTACAATTTGATGTTTAAAAAGTTTATGGACGGTAATTCTGTGATTGACATATAGAGAGTTAAATATCCGTTGTTAAAGCAGTTTACTTGGTCAAATTCCAGGGCCCAGTTTTTCAAAAGTAATCCAGTGGGATTTTGGATCACGGATTGGATCAAATCTTGGAAATGGGTTTTTCAAAAGTAAAAGAGGGATCCTGAATTAAGATCAGACCACGTAATCCAATCTTACATTTGATTTGGATCAAACCTGCCCTTTGGGTTATTCAAAACTTTGAACTCAGATTGG